GTGGAGCTGACGATAGCGCTGGTAACAGGGTCATCAAACGCTTGAGTGATTCTGCTGAAAGACGAAATCATCGTCAAAGAGATCAAATAACCCCCAGACACTCCCACTTGAATAGAAGACCAGGTTCGTCACCTCGGTTGCGGAGACCTCCAATTTACATCATCGCACTTGCCAGCTTGGTCCCTCATTATTTTTTTCGTCCCATGTGTTTGCATTTTTCGACCAAAACCAAAAAGATAAAAAAACGCAATTTGCTGATTCTCACCGAGACTAGCTTTTTTTTATCAACAAATATTTTTCTCTCTCAATTTTAACGTTTTTCGAAATGAATGACTTTCAAAAGCTGTTCATCCGGATGAATCCGTAGGAGCGATAGACACGAGGATAGATGGTCTTAGAGCATGGTCGAGCTGAGGCGATGGTATACGATACCACAGCTGGGGAAGAATAAATTGTTCCGGAAATTTGTTCGATCCCAGGGCGCCTCGGCCACACGCTCCAATCGCTAAGATTGTTCCTTTGACGGTGTAATATCGAAGCGACTGGCCACACGTGATAAAAAAAAATGGCAATAATCTCGTCTAGTCATCAAAAGGTTGATGGAGTAAAAAATGGCATTATGAATAGTGAGAGGGAAAAGGGAATAAAATCTTGGGGAAGTGAGTGGTGAAATGGAAGCAAGATGAGGAACACTTCTTCGTTAAATATAAAAAAATAGGGGATATGAAAGAAATATGGGGGAGTTTGGGGAGCAGAACGAACACTGAGAATGGCGAATACAATGGCAAAGAACGAGCTTAGAAATGGCCGCTTTCGTGCTGAAATAATCGAGTTTATTCTCCCAGCACCTTTGTGAACCTCCCTCCCTCACTCACTCACTCACTCACTCTCTCACTCTCTCTCTCCTGTGGTAGCTACTGGTCGTGAAAATGGCAGCGGGATATGCGCCTCCTCTCCACCTTCAAGTACTCCTCAAGTCTACCCAGAATTGAATCTCAACAATGTTTGTCTATATACCCAAAAAGTTTCTCCTGAGAAATAGGGTTTTAGAAGCAAGTAGATACAAACTCGCTTTTCACCAACTTATGAAGAGCGATATTTCAAAGTGTTAATAAAAGCCTTGATAGCGCTGAATCAGCCATTGAGCTGAAACAACTGATGATTTTACTTCGTTTCAGCGTTGCATCGAGATGGGAGGATGAAGAAGCGAGTGTAGGATTAAAAAGATGAATACAACGGGTTGGCTGAATAATGGTGGAAAAAAAAACCAGTGGTTTTTGAATTCCATGGAAAAAGTTGGGGTATAGGTAGTTTTTCTCTCCCCGTAGGAGTTATGATGGACGAGGGGAATTGAATGAAGTGAGAGGCGATCGTTTATCCAACCAGGGACCTGATGTACGTCAAGCGTTCATCGATAGGCTGGCCATCAAAGTACATAAGCCATTCACCTGAAGCGTACCCTCGGGCAATACCTGTACGTAGATTATCGAAAAGTTTATTTTTCCACGAGTTTGAAATGTGAATGAGACGATGGCATTCCCCGATGAATTCACGTTTCAATTTACGCTCCTATTTTTCGACGACAACTGGCACCGGGAGTTTCACTCAGCCATAAGCCCGATATTTTTACATCTATCCTGGCACCAGCGGAAATGCACTTCGATTCAGTGCCTCCAGGAAATTCAACAGTGAAGAAGTGCTTCTTCATCGCAACTCCATTCTTTTCCCGTCAACTGAATTTACTTGTAAGTCTGATTTGACCCTCTGTCAATTGCAATTTCATGGGAATCCATTGATAAATCCATGGCTCAATTGTGAACAATTCAATTGTGCTGCATACATGTCTCACTCTGGCTTTTGTTACTGACAGGTTTTACCACGTAATTGGTGTTTCTTCTTGGGGGAATTACGACCCAGTGATTTAGAGGGATTAATCATCAATATTTGTCCATGAGAAAGATTGGTGACTCAAGGTTCGTTACAGAATTTCGTGGAATATACCAATAAACGGCGTGCGCGGGTGTATTTAGAGAGAAATTTTCAATGAATCCGCAAGTGGTTACACACATTTCCCCAACTTCAATCCTTTCCCTCCAACCTTCTCAATGCGGTCTCTTTCCACAATTCCTCAGCGTATTTGCATGTTAATTCGCGCGCTCATACACGGATATACCGCACGGCAACGAATAAGAGAGAATAAAAAATAAAAATCAGCGATTTCCTCGTTTCGTCGATGCTAATCAATTTAATCGGGCTTTATCCGAGTAATATGCATTATACTAACCACATTCTATACCACGACCCAATTAGCTAATTTCTTAAATTACCAAAGCGGGGTAATGGAAAATCATTAATTCACCGAATTTAATCAAGACGCAACCAGAAGTTCACATCTATTGGATTTCATGCAGAGGACTATTTCCATCAAGCATCCAACTTTCAATAAACCGTCATGCGCCCCCAGAAGACCCCGAGAATAGCGAAAAAAAAATGTCGTGTATTCTGCGTTGGATAGCGTAATTCCCCGAGGGATAAACACATAAAACCAAGTTATAATACCAGAGAAAAGTAGAAACCGAGATTTTTCATAGACTGTTATTTTTTACGATGTCAACTGCCAACTGCAGAGCATCCCTCCAGAATTCCAAATGCCCCTACTCAGAGCCTTCCACCATTGAAACCCAACCAAGTCCCCAAGAATCATGGCAGCGATCAGTCTCCAGCATGAAAATCCCATCCACAATCTCAATGTTAAAATTTCAAAACATGAAAATAGTTTTAAAGCTTCGAAATGCCATTACCTTTATGACTGAGTGCGCTCAACCGTTCTCGAGTTAAAGTTATTGAAACACATGGAGTTATTTACGCGACGGTGAGAGCTTATGAAATATTTATGAACCAAATGGATAGAAATAATTTGAGATTATTTGCAAATGAAATTTTCCGGCATGCTTTAGTGAGTACACTCGTATGGAGAGAAGTGGAGGCTCTTTTCTGAGAGCTCCTACTATCGACTCCTAAAATTTTCGGTAGCATATTAAAGAGCCTTCTGGCCGAGACATACGGACTGATACTAGATACTAAAAGGAATTCTCTGGTGCACGTAACTCTGATATACGGTTTTTGGAGTTTAGGAAAGAGTCGACGAGAGGGATGGGAGCTTATTGTAAAGTTTGTCAGTGTAACCACTAGGCGGCGACATCTGCTTGTAACGTTATCAGTGTTATCTGGCTTTGGACTTGACTTTTCATCCGTAAGGGAAACTACCCCAAACTATTGGGCTTGTTAAGCCACCGAGAGACTGGGAGTCTCACTATCGCGCATGTTACCCCCGTATTTGTGTTAAATCCACAGTGACAACAAAGTTTTATCGCAAGCTGAAAGAACGTGCAATAACCATTTCTACACTGGGAGAGATTAAATGAAGTAGACGCTGAAATTAAAGTACGGCTCTAATGAAATAATTCAGTTGAGTGGAAAAACGGTGCTTTAGTGACCGGGAATAACGTAGTTTTATGGTGTTACTCATTCGATACCGTGGAAGAGGGTTAATGAAAATTACATTACGCGCGTTGGGTACATCGCGAAAGCTCTTATCAGTGGAAAATTTTATTATCCGACGTCGCGAATTGTCGGGGTAATTTTATCAGCGGGTACAGTAGACTACCCAAACTACCCTCTTATCACTCGGTTTTCATCCCTCCTGTTGTACCGACATTTTCAGTACATCCCCCAGCGCCATCTGTCGCGATCCAGTGCGCATGCGCGGACCATTTCGATCGGAAAAGCCGGGGAAAGGTACGGAATATTTTATTTTTCGTGCTTGTTCCGGGTGAGGGGATGCCAGTGGCTAAAGAGACATTGATCACTCGGTGTAATGAAAATTCTTCGCATTCCGTTTTCCCGGGAGATTACGAAAACTTTAATCAGGATTAATTTTCCATTCTCCGTTCGAGGGATAAAGAGAAACAGTCGAAAAATTGCAAGTAGAGAAATTAATTCTCTCGTGAAGACGATTGAGAATTTCGTAAAATATTCATCAACTCGGAATTTTCCAGGGAAATCTTTTTTCGCGCGTATTAATATCTCAAAGGGTCCAAAAAGATTAAGTCGACTGCATATTTCTGAATAATGTACAGCCCTCGGAAAATATTAGACAATTCGATTGGTCAAGGGATAAAAAATACGATTATGTTGCAAAACTCGATTTTCAATAGCATATGAAATAATAGATTTCAAACTCGCAGAGGCATTCGAGCCCGATGAATAACTGACCGCGGAAGTTATATATCTCGATTCCCTGGTGATATTATTTTTAAAAAATGAGGGAGAAAAATGAATGACTATTATCTAGGTGATCCCATTGGAATAAGCTCGCAAGCTATGTGAAACGCTCGAGGCGAGTGCTCTATCGATCGCTTTTCCAGCGGTGTTTGGTGCTATGGAGCGAAAAAGAGAAAGTGGCTCGCTGTTCTAGATTGCCTCGTGTGCAATTCCAATTGTTGGATAGCTATTCTTCACTTCGCTTACACCCTTAATAAAGTGGGGAAATCATTTTCTACGTAACAATTAAAACTACCAGAAGGGGTAGTACGTTTTTATGAGTCTGGGGATGTTATTAAATTGAATAATTACTGGATAGAATATGGAGAGAACGGTATGCAGAGAAAATCGCTTTATGAGCGTTAGGCGTTTAAAATGAGAGTAGACTCTATCGCTCACGTTGCGCTCAACAGTATTGAATTAATTATGGAGTATGATTTCCTTCGACCAATTCAATTCAACTCAATGCGAATGTCGATAAATTCACCGAAATTTGAATGAGTGGCGGAATTATCAGTGACTAAACAGTATAACTGATTTATTTTGAGCTTCATTTTGTCCCCAAATACGCGGCTGAATCGAGTTTTGGAGTAGTCGTATTTCGCTGATTCAAATGGAATTAATCAACGTGAATCATCGCTGTGAATGGTGGATGAAAAATAACCAGTTGGACTCACCTTTAGTTGATGTTGAGGTCGTCTGAGTGCCCCTTGATCCCTTCTGCTCCCCAGTCTATCAGCCTCAGCCTCCAGTCCTTCCATCGAGGATTCAGCTTCACTCAGCCAGGCCAGAAACTTATCCAATGAGCGATCGAAATTGTGAAGTGAATTCATCGCTGAGTGCAACAGCTTTCCACGGTTTATGATGCTGAAAAGCAATTGGGTCATCCATTTCATACGTTATTCATCGAAAGTCTATAAAAAATACGCTTTTCAAAGTCTATCACTCATCACTTTTTTTTTTTTTTAATTATTTTAGCTCTTAGGGAATGCGAACTCTTTGCGCATCGTTTACCTGGTATTTAAATTGTTATAGCGTTGATTGATCGTTTCAGTCATTTTTTTAACTCGTGTTGTGTCATCCTGCTGGTACACGGCTATTAGTTTCTGCGTTAATTGGTTGAACAGCTCGATTTGATGCTTGTATTGATGGAGTTCAGCGTGATACGACTGTTAAAAAAAAAATTGTAGATGGTATTGACAGGTTTAAAAGTCTGTACGTCAGTTTATTGACTGAAAGATTTACCTTCTGCTCTCTGAGCTGTGCCTCGAGAACATCAGCAGTGTGTCCCACAGATCGCATTCTCGTAAGCCTGAGCTCCATTCGATCGATCCACACTTCCACCTCATTTCTCTTCGCCTCGTATCTCTGACTGTCACCCAACATTGCATCCAATTGCGTCTTTCGCTGCATAACTTTTGAATTTGTCTCGTCCCAGTGCTCGCGCAGCTTTGTAACTGAAATAATATTTTGAAGAATACTTTACATACGGTGTATAATGCAAAATTCTTTCCCGTAATTCCACGGGTCTCAATGTTAAATATTCCTAGAGCATTTGGATTAATTTTTTTTTTCTTTTTCGGTCAGCCGGAATTACAGGAATTGCCATGGAGGACGTTTAATTTTATTTTTTTCCAAGTGAGTAAAAAAAAATCTGCATATTCAGAATAAACGTCTGGTGGAGTTCTACTGGGAATAATTAAAATTTTATGAGTGCGGAGGTGAGTGCACGGGTTATTAGTAAGTGAAGAATTGAGGACAAAGACAGCGCAATTTTATATTTGGTACATTGAATGGATCACACAATGACACTCGGAGGAAAAATTATCCTCTACCTTTGAGACAGAAACGAATGTGGGTGAGCCCTCGAGTGCATTTTCCATCGAAGAGGATTGATTCTATAATTCAAAAGTATTGAACGTATACATCATTTAGCTCGACATCAATATTAATTTATAAAACGAAAATAAAAATTTTTCCAACACGTTTAAAAATTCCGAATGCAAAAAGAAAACTTCACTGAAAAATTTTCTCCCCTATTCGTAATACGGAATAGCATTTTCTAACGGTTGAGCAACGAGCAATGGAATGTTAAACATTATACGTCAACAAACTCACATTAGCCGTAAGAGTTGGTGTTATCTTTAAAGGCAGTATTAAGGAGCCTAATGCACGTAGAAATGGCGCACGCGTGTACGTAATGCTGGAAGAAAGCTAGCCTGGTTTAAAGGTGTATAGCATAACTTGTGTATTTCCGTATTTGGCTTGAAGCCGGAGGTAAAGTGGCTGATGTATCACGCCTCACAGTGGAAAGGGAGACAGGGCCAGTAAACGAGATGAGGGATGAGACGCAGTCGGAATATAGAAGAACAAGTACAACGACTGGTGCTTTTATCTGGCTTAAAACTCAGGTGTCTGTAAAGCCTCAATGTGAATACTACCAGCCAACTTGGATTATTGAACTGAAGCACAAGTAAAACGACCGGGTGTATATAAATACACTCGCGGGTTATGCACTCATTTATCTGCAATCTCGATACTTGACAGCTTTAATTCAGTATTTTTTCATTTTACTTCTCTTTTTTTTTTATGGACAAATCAATGTAGTTAACCACAACTCCATTGAAAGCAGTGAAATGACATTGGGAGGAATGCGAATAAATATTTGCCAGTGCAAACACATGGGATTTTCAGTGGATGAGCATTGACTATCGCGTGACTCCATGACAGACAGTTTCACCATACGAAAGACCTAATCGATCTAGTTCTATCGTGATCATTCCACGCGGTTAGCCATTGAAAGGGCTGGGATTGCGCATCGTCCACTCCTCCATTATATTCGACATCAGTGTCATGCATACTGTTGCACGCAAATACCATTTTATCCACAGATTAGTCCAATTGATCACATGTCACTCGGCCATTACAACAAATTAATTCGCTGATTGTATGTCACTTATTCGTTACTACATCGCTTTTTGCACCCTCAACAATTACTCATTGATTTCGGATATATTTTCACCTCTGCCGAGTGAAGTTAACGGAAACCGATAATAGAGATAACATGTCACAGCCAGAGAAGGGACTCTGTAACACTCAGACTTCATAGAAACATACCGAATCCCTCGGAAACACACTAAACCCCATCCGCAAAAGTTTGTTGGATGTGGAGGACGAATTCAACAACTGGTGGTGGAGAACTTGTTGACTGCAGACAACTCCTCTTCATATATTTCAGTTGCATTGATTTCCAAAGCCAACGCGAGTCTCCGTACTCGGATTATTCAACTGATGGAACAAGCGGACTAAAAATCCAGGTGGAGCAAAACACTGAAAAATATGAGGTGCATTCCAATTCCGTTATTGACTCGGTCAATTTTTTTTTTTATCCCGTACCAGAGTGCGATCGACCTGCGGAGTTCAGGGAACCATTCAAGGGGTCGAGGGAGTAATTTGGTATTGAGCTTGGCACGCAACGTTAAGCACGAGTTTCACACTCGTTATTATGGAACACAAAGTTGACGACCTGTGCATCTCACTGGGCTGTACAACACCTGGACTAAAAATTCTCCCTCATCCCTACACTCCAATAAATTTTCCTACAAGTTGCCACACTTTTTTCTCATTATATTCCTCGCCAAAAAAAAAAACAACGATTTCAAGCGCAAGTTATCATTTCATCATCATTCAGTACGCACTACCCAGTCCGGGCGCGCGTTGATATTTTCCCTTCTTTCGGTGCAGTCATGAATTTTTAATTATGGGTGAAGAAATGAGGAGAAAAATTTGGGATATTCAGTGGATTCTCCTGTGAGTGCAAAAGTATTGAATTGATAAAATGGTGCAGGATGCATTGGGGTGAGGCCGCGTGATTTTTTTTTTTTTTGAGGCTTGCTGTCTTCATGCCTGACGTACCCTGTTGGGGAGGATAGTCAGTTCGCCTCCTGTCGTCAATTTCTCGTTGTTCATCCGGATATGGCGGAGTAACATCCGAGGTATGCCGGTGAATAGCCACTGTAACTTCGTCTGTAGGCACATCTCTGCGGTGTCGAACAGCGTGTAGTGATTCTCGTGACAATACCATTCTCGTATTGTATGTTCCTCGAGATGGTGAGGGATTGTACTGCATACTGTGCAGCAACATTTCTGCGTAATTGCGCAAATATTTTCACCACATTTCTAGTCGTTTTTTAATTCCACGCATTCCGAGGCGGGGGATCTACATTCAAGCTTTTTTTTGTCATTTCGAAAATTTCGCAATGAAATTGTAAATTTGTGGGTTTGGAGAAAATTTTTGTACGTGTAATTGTGGAAACATATTGGACATTTTCAAACGGAGAATTTATATTCAGAGCATTCGATCTCAGGTTATGACCGAATGGGTACAATGGACGAGGCGATTTATGTTGATCGAGCACGTTGAATGGGATATTTGTGGAAGAAATGGCTTGAATTTATATTCAAGTGAAAATCGTTATCGTCCTCTGGAAAATATTCTTTTCAGGAATTTTCACCAGACGGAAATCACACGGAAGTCGCGGTGTTAATTGAATTTATACATCGCATTTATCTTCAGTGTTCTCCATAAAAAATCCCTTTGAAAATATCTCGAAAATGTAATCCCTTGCAGGAACTTCGGGTGTTGGAGGCATGCACTCAAGCATTTCCGCCAAAGTTCTGGCATTACGAAAAATCGAAAAAATAAATAAAATGGGGATATGGCGGAGGGCTGCGGGCAATATTGGCCCGGAATATAAAGCCAGGAGAACACAGCCACTACTTCTATCTGAGAAAGCCAACTTTGGTCCAACTTTAGCCGTAAAGGTAAATGGTGTACGTCGTCTTTTTCGTACGAGTGGGTAAGAGGTATATCAGTTTGGCGAGTGTTAGAAAGCTGGTGAAAAAGATGAAAAACAAAACCCCCCAGAAAAATAAAAGAACAACTGTTGTTGCTCTCGAGCGTGGCCAATTTCCCATGCATAACCAGTAGCTATACATTTTTTTTTGGATTTTCCCTCTGTACACGAAAAATCGCCTCATGAATTATGCGAGAGGTGGTGCATTGAACGCTCTCCCCTGGCCCTACCTTGATGCAATGCTGCTGTTGCGGTGGGTGGTCGATGGGTTGAAATTCCGGCTGCAACGTGGGGTGGAGATGATTGTGGTGTGGAATGACCAAGACCAGCTGGACCAAGGGGATTAATGAAGCCGTGAACGAAATTACCGTGATGCGGAGTACCGTGGATTGAACGAGGTGGTACCATTCCTGGCAGCGGTATGCCCCGTGTCTGTACCTCAAGGGATCCTGATACACCCTCACCTGATGCTAGGTGAGATGGTATTCCTCCAGCACTTACGTGCCCTGTACTCCTTCTCTGCTGCGACATTATTTCAAAAAATTCCAACTATCACTCCCTCAATCGTTATTGCAATCGTTATCTCCGGACTGGGACCTCGACCCTGAGACACTTTGTAGAACACCTGAAATCCTCAGAATCCCCAAATCACTGTGGTGGTGTCTCAGCGAATTAGGAAAGTAACCCAACCTATATTGAATTATACCCCCAGGAGTTTGAACTCGTAAACGTTCTTCACAAGAAACACGTGGGTTCTTTCCGAGCACCGGGTGTATCCAATTCAGTACAATGTATACGTATCAATTTTACACCGCTGTGCATACTTGCTTCGACGTTACTTCACCAGCTGTAGTACTTTATAGAATAGTTCATTGTCGGATGAAAATCCTAGGGCTCAGAGGGACCTCTCGGCCCTTTGATCACTTATCTGCACAAGGCTTTTAACGAGGGTCCATTCCTCCTGACTCGACACATTCGCCTGATGAATTGTCTCCCCGGACAATCAATAAATCAATTATTCAACACTTGTCAATCGATTCGAATAAATAAGATTCAATTGAAATCAGTGGAAATAATAAAAATAAAATTTCATAGCGGAAATGTTGAAGTAGGAAGTTGCTCAGTGCTCATAGTCTCGGTGAACTTCAAAAGGAACAAGACATTTTAATGAATGTTGCTTAATGGAAAATACACTGGTGTTGTTCAAAGTGACATGGAAAGTGTGTGATACACCACAACAAGAACCGTGTGCGACAGGGAGCGGTCGCGCGTACACTGAAAACCACGCCGTCACCCACAACGCCGCACCCTCAGGTTCTCCACCCTCCCACTCCCACCATTCCTCCCACCGACTCACCCCTACCCCCTCCTTCCATCACTGCCGCCGACTCACCCCCTCTCCATTTTCCTCCCCTTCTGACTACCTTGGCTCTCGTAGATAGTCTACAACCAGTACTCAACCACCATCGGCGAAGGTCTTCCAGGTAGATACAAGTTGTCTTCCACCATTTTTTACCACCTCAACACATCCACGCAAATGTGTCAGTTCACAACCCCTACTACAACCTCTTCTCCTGGGTGTCACTGTTTTCTCACCCATAAAGGTCACACTCACAATATTTCATTGATTTTTCTCATCCACCAGTTATTTTGGGGCAAATATCGCCATTATAGCATCACTCTTGATGCAACAGGAGAAATCTCCACTATTACCTTCTACTCTCGTTGGTTTATCGATTATTTGCGGATGATAGATAAACTCTAATGGAATTTTCATCATCCAGTATTATCAGGCGATGTCATCGAATAGTCATACTCAAGGATCCTCCATCAATGGGGAAGTGCTAATGGGTCCTCAACAAATCCCAACCCATCACTGAGCACTGACTTGCATTGTGCATTGAGAGTGACCGTCAGAGCGTTTGATTCGATTATGCCCTCAGAACTTTGGCTCGATCGTTTTCCGATTATATCAATCCAAGGGGTGTTCGTGCATTAGTGACTCATTAACGCTGCAAACTTGTCCACATTTTGGGAGAAAATCAGTAACATCATTCATTCCCTCAAACAAATATATTTTTCCTCATTTTTCGGCCGAGAGAATTAACCAAATTGACAACTTCATTATTCCTATAACCGACGGATAATCGATTCGGAATGAATGATCTGTTATCTATTATAGTTCTAGTCATCAATTATTCCTTGATAACTGCTGACATCAATTACCAAATTAAAAACATGACAATGGAGATTTTTTCTGGGGCTTTCTGTATGGACGGAATCCAAAAGAACATTAACGCTTCACTGCCACATTATACTCGGTACAATGAAGTTGAAAGTTAGTCGTCGGACAATTTTGCTCGTTCTCTTTAAAATAACGTACATAATTTCATCTGTACTGGGCTTAGCTCCGTGCCGTATAAAAATATCATCTTCATCAGGCGAAAAAAAAAAATTCACGTTCTTGTTTTCATATTCGCGAGTAAAACTTACGTACACTATTCTGATGATTATGTTATTCATGACGATAATAATTGATGGTATACCGCGTTTGTTCCGTCTGCCGTATCCAAACAATTCTGCGATTATTAGATACAGTACATTAGTACTGACAGTAGCGGCAAATGCATCAGTTGTCGTAATCATCATTCTGTATTCACTACATCACGGGAGGATCATCCGAATTGGCAATGAATTATGTGAATTTGATAGAAAATACGGTCGTGAACTTATTAGGATGAGTGGCAATATAGTTGAAGACGTTTTACCCTACATCAAAATCATGTTCATGGTATTCATTTGGATTGGAATTCTCATCGTAGAATTGACAAATGAGGGAGGTGAACTTTATCTTGTGGCTTTGGCAATCAGTGAGGCCTTCTTTAGTTGGCTATTGGTGCAATACAATTTCATCATCGATATGCTGAAAATTCGACTGCGAAAATTGAATAATGCCCTTCTCACCCAAACAACATGCCCATTTTTAATGAACGAAGAACCACTTTTTTTGAGGAGTTCCTTGAGTGATCGAGCAATCATTCAGAATTTAAAGACGATTAAACGAGCACGAAGGCAAATTTATAAAATTTCGTGTGAAGTTTGTAAATTTTATTCGCTCCCAATGCTACTCGTTATTATCAATTCATGCTACTTTTGTATCATTACTATCTATTTGTATATTATGATCTTCATACACTCCATTAATTTTAATAAAGATTTCATCGACTCCATTTTCTGGATGCTAGTATCACTGTATCCCATTACTATGCTGAGTCTAAATGTCAATGCATTTAATGTTGAAGTACGTACAAGCGTCAATTGCACATGGAATACCTCAGAAGTTGTAATTACAATCTGAGAAATGTCTATTTCTGTTTTAGGCTGCTCGAACTGCGGATATTGTTTATGATATCATGGAAGCTTATTCTTCAAACAAAAATGTCCAGTCTGAGTTGAATAATTTTGCCGTTGAGTTGTTACACAAAAATCTATCCTTTAATGCTTGTGGAATTTTTTCACTAGACTCTTCTCTATTGAAATCAGTAAGAAATTACGCGTCTTCGATGTATCGAGTAAAGATACTTTTCATAAATGTAATAATGTTTTTCTACTCGCAGATATTGGAGATGACGGGAACTTATGTTCTCATCCTTGTGCAATTCAGACCGCTGGAGAAGGCAAAACAAAATGGATGGGCGCAGTACGCTAATGAATTCAAATAAGAGACTTTGTCAATATTGTTACTCTTGGAATAAATAATTGATATTAATAAATTGGTATTAATAAAAATGAGGAATCCTCAACACCGTCTTATTTTATCTCAAAGAGCCGCTACTACAGGACTACTTGAGAAGGCAAATGTTGGGTTACCTTTTGTCAGAACGAGTCTCCAAATCAGAATAATAAATCTTTACAGTAGAAATTCCAGAGATAATTGAGCAATAGATGAAGTTGCATATTAGGAACGAGATTAGCAAAACCGTAAAGAGAGTTTCTAACGAGGCACCTCAACATGTTAAAGGCCATCCGTAGTGTCTGAACTCGAAATGATACAGTAGTTTTCTAACAAGCATGAAGTTATAACGAGCGCTGGAATAGTCGGTAAATGTTGCAAAATGGAGGATTCAGAATGAATGGTGGTAGAGGACGATGGGGAATAAAAAATTTTCACCTATAGAATATTCTCCATTTTTATGACAAAGCCATTAGTTTGAATAAAACATGTCTGTACGTATCTTAATTTAAACATTGTATCTTCAATAGCTCCGACTTGTTAGAATAACAGGACTATTCGAAAATGGTAAGTTGGAGAGTTCTAAAGATGACAAATTAAACAAAGCTCTGGATTTTGCAGAGGACGAGTCCCCCTGAAGAAATATTTACGCTTTGTATGCGAAACATTAGCACCGAAGCCGCAGTTGAATCAATAGTGTAACAGGTGTTATCCATCCGAATTTCATTAATCAATATGCATACCCCCATGAAGTTAGCAAGCCAGGAGCATAATTTGGGAATTCTGACTGGCGATAAATAATGGGTTAATTATGTGTTTTATTTGTACGACGAAGAAAAACATGTTTCTCCATGATAGTTAGCATTGAGCGGGGTTGTATTTTCACGATGAAACTAAGTTTTTCTTCATTATGGCTAGATGGATATCTTCCATGGTGAAAATTCCCAGGGAAACTCGTGAGTTCTGAGTAGAG